TATTTTAATTTAAAATCCCTTTTTTAATAGCTTTTCTTTTTAATTTAATAGCGCCAGCTGTGCAGATAACTAAACGCACAGCCGGCTGTGCGGGTATGACTCGCCACTGGCCAGGCAACGCTTACGTAACAGTCCACCTAGAAAATGCTCTCCGGGTCAAACTCAGTGAGTTCGTTCAACTTACTTCATCCTTTGACAATATGTCCCAAGACTCGACAGACCAAAAAGGTCCTGAACTCGCTGTCGATGCTCACGTGAAGTATGTACAGAGCCTGGATACAAGAAAGGATGATCTCGACTACTGGCTTACTGAGCATCTGCGACTCAATGGCTTGTATTGGGGATTAAACGCACTCTTCCTCCTGGGACGGCCAGAGGCTCTCCCTCGACAGGATGTCATCGATTTCATTATATCTTGTCAGCATGAAAATGGCGGGTTCGGTGCAGCACCTGGCCATGATGCTCACATGCTGTCCACAGTAAGTGCTGTGCAGATTCTCGCCATGATGGATGCTCTCGACCAGCTGGAAACAAAAGGCAAAGGCAAGAACCAGGTTGGCAAGTGTAGGTATTTTGCAAGGTCCACAGTGCCTCCTATGCACCCACTGACCACCAACAGTCATCGCGGGACTGCAGAATCAAGAGACTGGTACATTTGCCGGGGATGAATGGGGCGAGGAGGATACCCGGTTCTTGTACGGTGCATTCAATGCTCTGTCCCTACTCGGTCTAATGTCCCTTGTCAACGTCGACAAGGCCGTTGCACACATCATCGCCTGTGCCAACTTTGACGGTGGCTATGGAACAGGGCCTGGTGCGGAGTCGCATTCGGGTCAGATCTTTACTTGCGTTGCCGCCCTCGCTATAGTTGGTCGGCTTGATCTGGTGGACAAAGAGAAGCTCGGCAGATGGTTGAGCGAGAGACAAGTTCCCTGTGGTGGCCTTAACGGTCGACCTGAAAAAGACGAGGATGTGTGCTACAGCTGGTGGGTATTGAGTAGTCTCGCCATGATCGAGCGCACTCATTGGATCGAGCGCGATGCGCTTATCGCTTTCATTCTCAAGTGTCAAGATACCGAAACTGGTGGTATCTCTGATCGACCTGGTAACATGGTCGATGTTTGGCATACCCAGTTCGGTTTGTGTGGTCTTAGTCTTCTGGGCTATCCAGGTCTCGAGGCAGTTGATCCAGTATATTGCATGCCCAAGACGATAACAAAGAGACTTCTCGGCTGATCGTCTACACGTCTATGAGCCCGTCTTTCCCCTATACAACTTACCCAATGGTGCCAGCCACCACCCTCTGACCATTCATAGCACATGCTTACGACGTTGTTCGGTGATAGCATGTGAATATGGTTGAGGGAAGAGGAAACTGTTGGTTTTTTCAGGGACATCGCTTGACTCCGTGGTGTTAGTCCCGTGAAGTCCTTCAAACATTTATCGACCTTGTCAAGACCATGTGGACGGTCTTATCACTTTGAGCCTGGTCATGTTGGACCGATAGTGTACTACCCTTAATTAATACACCTAAGTATCTTTCAATGTCAATACAAAATTTCCTGCCAATGAAGACGCAATCGCCTAAGGTAGCTCACCCGCGGGCTCTCCTCGTGCTGCAAATGTCTCCTCCTTGGCCACAATTATCACACGCATCCCTGTTATCACATACTTCCCTGGTATTTCTCGATACTAGTATATGAAGAACAGTGCTTGGCCGTCTCCTCCGGCATGAGATGTAACTGGCCTCCTGTTCCATGCGCACTTAGCTGAAATCCTTGCCTGCCCTTCATGCCTCAGAATGTTTCCTGAGGCTCACAGGACTTTCAGGGCACCTGCCGACACGCTCCTTCCCCCCTGGAAGCCAGACCTGGCTAGCCCCTCTTCAAGCACCCCTCCTTCCCCAGACTTCTGATCCTCCCTACTTAGGTAGTTAGTAGGTAAGGTACCTTACTAACCTGAGGTTACCTTATGACTTACGATGTATCAAAATCATCCGAATCACCTGCATCTCCTCTTCCTTTGATATCTCATTGCCAGCCCACCTGAGTGCCTTAGTACCTAGGTACCTTACCTACCAAGGTAGATATCTTTTCTTAGTCACGTCGTTGAGTACACCTCCCAGGAGCCTTTCAATCCTTACTTTTCGATTCCGAATGTTTCGGTATTTTCGCATAACTGGCATTGTTTCTTAAGGAAACTTGTTCTTCATCTTCACAACAGTGTCCCGAGAGCTCTTGCTGCTAGCAGGACAATCCCTACTAAGATACAGTGAGTTTCAAATCCTTCTTTTCTCCCTTTGTACCTGCCTACTTAGGTACAGCCTAAATGACATAAGAGCCGGGAAGATGGTAGTCATGGTGGCTTTCCTTGGCTGCAAATAAGAAGATCTGGGCACTGGAATCAGGAAAACGACCGTGCTAATTGCTTCTACTACAGTATTTAGGCTACCTACCTAGGACAACTCGATTCTTTCTCAAGCGCCATGTCCTTTTGACTTAGTCTGAAGCAATAGCTAGCAGGAACGGACTTTGATTAAGACACAATAAGGAGCGAGGTCCAAGAGGTATGGGAAGCTTCTGCACCCTTCCGCAGACTGCCGCTCTTCACGTATCGAGATACACATCTTTCGCGCGAATTCTCCTCCCAGAACCGTTGCTGTCCAGGTATGTTATTCGAGGTAAACAGGGAAGGTGACTTCTGATCTCGTGGTAGACAGCACTTTCCAAGTTCAAAGACGTTGCAACTTCATCTTAAACTGCGTTCCGGAAAGTCTCCAAGTCAAGCCTTCCTTCCCTTCCACTCCCCCATCGGCCGACTGCTATCCATGAGAAGCAACAAGGAGTCGATCCTGCATCATCAATTCAAAGGTTCAGCTTCTACTGCTATAAGCCGCAATCATGGCTCGAAGTAGGAAGTCCACAAAGCCACCACTGGTAAGCAACTTCCCCTCGTACCTATTTTCAATAGCTACTTGTCTTCCCTTCTTCTGGATCACAGACTTCGCCTTATCTTCACTTGCACAAGACCTGCTCTTTTCGACCCAGAACTTGATTCCATCTCCATCTCAACCCATTGCACTCACTATTGCCCTTGTTTTGACCTGTCTGTCAGCCCTTTCCCATTCATTCTCAGACGAGGAGAATAACGCTGGGCAAGCCGTTTTACACGCCATTGATAGCTCCCTTGGTACCGTAGCCCAATCAATTCGTTGAAAAGCCGCCCTGAGTCGTTACTGAATAAGAGTTACTGACAATTACGTTATGGCTTAGGTCATGGCTACTACAGCGATACCAGGAGACAATACAGCCAGCTCTATCAGTCGACATATCCCACTCTTTTGTTCCGTGTGCCCTGAGACTCCTCGTTTTTCGGATGTCTCACATCTTCTTACTCATATCGCTTCGAAAGGACACCTTCATCACGAAACCCAAACGAAGCTCAAGGCTCACCAAGATATCACCGCCGCGGTCAAACTTCAACGTTACGAGGAGTAGTACTCCCAAAATGGCATTGAGGCACTGTTGGTTGATAGAATGAGAGCAAAGCAGTTGAAGGAAGAGGCTCGTAGCCGGCGCAATCAAGGAACCAATCTTGCCTCTGTCAAGGTAGTGATATCTCCTTCAGGTGGCTGTTCCTTTTTCTAACAGTTGAAAGCAAAACAAGCGGAAGATTAAACAGGAGACATCAATGAGCCCCGCGATTAAGCTCGAAGGAGACGAAATTCTCGACGATTTCCCAATCTTCCCTGGCTTCTTTGACCATGAACAAGATCAAGATGTTCAAGAAGAATTCTCTCTGGGAGCCGACTCAATGTCGCTGAAGGGCCAAGTGTGGCCAGGAATGGGTAAAATGGATCTTGCCGACGACGAGATGAGGCGGACTCGGAACCAAAAGAAGCCCAAGTCCGTAATCGACAGAATGAAGAGGGCTTCGGAGCGTATCGAACCTACCCAAGTCATCATGACATCTGAACTAGAAGTTGAAAGGATGAAGGACGTGTATGATGATGCTTCCTCTCCTGCTCCTGGCCAGGAAGAATCAGTATGTACCATGAGAGAAAGTCCCTTCCAAATGCTAACCTTGTCAGACACCACCACGAAAAGCTCCAAAAACGAAGCGCAAGAAGGCCACACCTCTAGCTGAAATCTCGGCCAACGCTCCCAAGCAACGCCGTGGTACTGCTCGTGGTCCAAAACCTGGTACGGGAAAGAAGACAAACACGACAAAAAAACAAAGTCGCGAGAAAGAATCCAAGACATATCCTCCACCAGAAAAACCGCAAGATATCCACGATGTTTTCCGTGATGAAAAGGACCGGCCAGGTGGGTATTGTGCGAACTGAAAAAGGGGAAAATCGCTAATACGAAATGAAAGCTTCAATCAGTGAACCTCCACTTCCTGCCACTCGGAATGACAGAAGGTGAGGTTTAGTGCCGCTTCTGTAAGAAAAACTGACACCGAAACTAGATTCGACCTTCGCACGAAGCATGGGGCTCGAAGCATTGACAACTTTCTTCATTCAAATCTTGTTTCTCCCACGCCACATCCAAGAGATCTAGCACCGCGACAACTTCTAGGCCGAGAAACATCTAACACACTTCGACCTGAATCATATGCTCCGGGTCAGTTTGAGGAACACCTGAGCCATCATTATTCACAACTAGATTCTGGATTTGGACTTACACACAAACAGGCACTTTCAGTCACGTAGAAGCTTCGTATGCTTTGAAAGACGCTACCATCTACAATGCTTCGTCACGCCTTCCGTTCGTCCCTCCAAATTTCGACCAGTATCGAGGACTTGGCCCAGACCAGTTTCAATTGGCCGCAGACTATGGATTCCAGCTGAAACATGAAGACTACACAGGATCAATCACAGGAGATGTAACACAAGGAACAAACAGCAGTCCTTTCATGGGAGTGCCTGGAACCAACCCTCTTTTTTCTCATGACAGGCCATTCTTGAATCCTTACAGCCAAGCTACACCAAATGCAACATTCTCCCCATTGTCATTCACTTCTATCAACCGACAGCAAGACCACTTACACAATGACGGAGGAATAAAAACACCACAGGCACAAATTTGTGAGCCAAATGAGAACAATGGTGGCCTTGGAGAGGAGCAAGAGCTAAGCATGAGTGCACCCTGGAATCTGAATGGTACAGAAAATGATATGGACTTCTCCCACGGCCTTACAGTGGACGACTCACAAATGTGACTGACATGATGAGCACCGAAGAAGGCAAGACATGTGTCTTGTGGTCCTACAGGCATAGACGAGAATCACAAGATCCACATACATCAATGGACTTCCTCAGTCTTCCAGATCATGGCAAGTCATGATAGATCATTACTCTCAACCCTCATGACCGCCACCGAGGTAACCATTTGGCTGACAGCCATCATCGTCATGAGTAAAAGAAAGTTCTAACCTCCCAGATATATGAAAATGCTGTACATATTACGTACGACTCCCTACGCCAATTTTTACCGACTTGCGTTTTTGACATTCTTTTTTCTTTCTTTTTGAACTTTCAACAAAGTGGTACCGGGTAGGGACACAATTAGGAGTTTCGATTACCTTGGGACAATGTTAAGTGGCGCTCAGACAATCAGTATGGGGAATCTGGGGCCTCAAAGAGGCATATAAAATGGTGTCATGAGAAAAGAATAACTAGGGGGACTTTGGTGTCCGGGGAGAAGGACATATCATTTGACATTGGAGTTATGGGGTGTCAAGACAGAAGACATTGTAAGCATTTTATGGGAAATTAGTCATTCTGACATTGGGTTTATATTTCTTTTCTATCGAGTCCTGCAAACATTACGTAGTAAAGTTGTGATGTTACTTACAATTGTTCAATGCCTGATACCAGCTGGTCAAGTTGATCCGGCCCGTTATGTATTACGTCCGACAAGGCATGGCAAACACCCCTGAAGCGACGAATCTTCATTTCTTGCTCCATTTGCTCCGACTTCAGGGCAGCAACATCAATGACTTTCTTGGGAATACGAGCAAGCCTCGCAACGTTCAGGCCATAAGATCGATGAGCAACACCTTCGCCAACTTCGTACAAGAACGTGACCTGTTCCTCGCCATCCTCTCCTTTCTCTGCCTTGAATTTCATGTGAACGTTCTTGACACCATCTAGACCTTCAGCTACCCGCGCTAGATTTTGATAGTGTGTGATGAAGAGTGTTAGACAGCGGGTTTCAGTGACGACATGCTGTAGCACAGCCTGAGCGATGGCGGCGCCATCATGAGTACTGGTACCGCGGCCTAGCTCGTCAAGAATGACCAGACTTCGGGGGCCAGCCGATCGAAGGATACGGGCTGTTTCAGAGACCTCAACCATGAATGTAGATTCGCCAGCGAAGAGATTGTCGCGAGCCCCCGTTCGTGTATGAATAGCATCACAGAGGGTGAGAGACAAGGCATCGGCTGGGACATAGGAGCCCACTTGAGAAAGGAGAACTATGAGGGCAAGGGCGCGAACGAAAGAAGATTTACCGCCCATGTTGGGGCCAGTTATGAGGTGAGCGAGAGGTGAAGGATGCATGAGGCTGGTAGAGAAGGGTATGTAGCTGCCGTCAAGAGTATGCTCAGCAATAGCGTGACGGCCGTTGGTAATAGAGATAGTTGGGTCAACGGTTGAGGGGAGGAAGGAGGGTCTAGAGTAGCCTGGCTGAGCGGCAACTTTAGAGAGTGAGAGAATGCAATCGAGGGTCGCCAGAGCAGATACGGCATCGCGAAGAGGCTGGTAATCTGCAGAAATGGAGGCAAGCAGATCTTTGAAGGCCTTGTCACAGGCAGCAGCTAGGGCCTCGCGGTGTTGGTCGCGCTCCGTGATGAGGCGAAGTACCTCGGGCGTGTGAAAGCGGGAGAGTTTCTTCGTTCCAGAAATCTTGGCCCAAGAAGCAGGGACGTTTTTGATATCTGTGTTGGGCACCTCAATAAGATATTCGATGCCAGCAACAGTGACATATTCGACGGTCTTCTTCTTGATCTTCTCAGCGGCAACGGCACGATGGCCATCTAGCTCGTGCTCAACATGAGCGATACCAAGTTGATGATCTTGCATATCCTCTGTCTGAAATTCATCACGGAAAAAGCCATATTTATCATCCTTCCGGGCTGCGACAAGATTAATGCGCTCGAGATAGGACACAACTGTGTCAAGAATTTGTGGGAGTGCACAGACAGCATCGTTTAGGAGAGAGGAAGAAAAGGGGGCGCCAGAAGGACTCTTGACGGTGGAGTAGTAGCTCGCGACCCTTTGGAGGGCCTGAAGCACTGAGAGGAGTTCTGGGCGTGTGCATTTGCCGTAATAGATGCGGATAAGACTGCGTTCAAGATCGGTTTTGGTGTTGGCCAAAAGTGACTCGAGCTGGGATACAGGAACGGATGATTGCTTCTCGAGCAGCTCCTCTACGGCGTTGAGACGGGCCTCGAGAAGTTGTTGATCGAGCAGGGGACGTCCTACCCATTTTCGGAGTAGGCGATGCCCTGGGCGCGTGAGTGTCTTGTCGAGCGCCCAGAACAGGCTGCCCTTTTCGGAGTGATCTGTAGAATTGCGGTACACTTCGAGGCTTTCGAGGGTCGTACCATTGATTAGCATGTGTGAGCGTGTGCTGAAGCTCTGGAAGTACTTTGTGAGATCAAAGATGTGCTCGAGACCGTATTCTTGGAGATGATTAATCATAGCCGAGAGGCAGATGGTGACAGACTCAGGAAGTTTCAAGACCTTGTCGAGAAGGGCGGCGGCAGTTTCGTCTCGGGCATTATCTTTGAGCTTGTCCGCGTAGAATTGAGTGACGTGGGAGTACGCCTCAGCCGCCATAGTCTTACTTTTGGGAACGCGTTCGACTCGACTCCGGTCACCAAAAACATTCGTGCTGGTGCCTGATAAGTGCTGCACGAGTTTATCAGTACCCTTGGTTAGCTCCCCCACGATCAAGAACTCGCAAGGGGAGATGTGCAAGAGCCGCGTTTCAATCTCACTCCGCATGAAACCGTCCTCGAAGCTGTCGTATATGATGTCTCCGGTTGCTGGCTGTACGGCAATGATTCCAACATCAACTTTCTCATCAGTGCCCCATCCCTTGGCCTTGGATTCCGTTATACATAATAGGTAACCGCCCGAGGGGGCCCCCGAACCACCGCTCTGGTCCAGCTCACCATTCTCATCGATATATGTACCTTTTGTGTAGAGATTGGTGAGCTTGCGGACGAATGGGGTGTTGCGGTTGTCTCCAGCCTTCTTCAATGCTGCAGTCTCGATTTGACGAACGACACCGACTTTGTGTCCGGCAGCTACCAGGCGCTTTGCATGTACCGGAAGACGGTGCACCGGGATACTCGCCGAGGCGAAGCGATCTAAATGGGCCTCTGATGGATCTGTACAGGTCAGAATTATGCGCTCAAGGCTGCAGGAATGACAACTTACGTTCATCATAACGCATCTTGCCTGGAATGCAGACTATACTCAGCTCCTTGGCTGCTATACGAGCATCCTCGCCAAGGAATCGAAACTTATAACCCACTTCCATGATGAGGATTGTGTCCATGTGTCTTCTCTTGATGTCAAGGAACTGGATCTCCATAGGAGTGAGTTTGCCTGTCCTGGAACCTTTCTTCTTCGTCTTTGCAGGGGCTGGAGCATCCTCCTCATCAGGGTCGGCATCTTCATCTTCACCCGCCGGCGCAGCATCTTGGAGATTGCGACGCCATGCGAGTGCATCTGGATGGCCGAGTTTCTTGACGAATCTTTTATGTAGCTCCTGGTGTTGTCGCCTCTCTTCCGCATCTTCATCCTCGTTCTGGATCGGTTCCGTGTTCTTGTCACCATCTTGGGTGGCCGGTGCACTGGAACCGTCATATCGGTATCTTTCTGTCCGTGTCCCTATGGTCTCTTGATCGCCAGCTTTCGATCTGGAGAAGAATGTCCTTGTGTCTTCATTGACGGGAGTGTCATCAACTCTGGCTCTTTTCAGAATCTTTCCAGGCTTCTCATTCTCTTTCCCTGCATCATCTGAAGCTCGTTTTCGCGAGGGCGACTCGTTATCTTTACTGGATGGCTGTGGCTGCGATTGTGACAGCGACTTGGCAGCTTGTGCTCGGCTTTGCTTCTCAAAGACTGCTGCTAAGCCATTAACGGTCTTTGGTGTGAAAAATGAAGTCAGTGACTGTTGTTTCTTCTCGCTCGATTTCGGAGTGGGAGCCATGTTGGAGATTGAACTTTGTGGATGTTGTAAATGGCATTAGCTATAGGGGGTGTTCGCATTTGATACCCTCAATCTACCCCGTGAATTTCGAGGTAGTGACGTTGGAGAAAGCGCGTCTCGGGAGTTGAGACGCGTTGAGTGGCTGGATGACCCACATTTCTTCCATTCTAGGCAATTCTTAAATTGGCACTCCGGACAAGATATCATGTCCTACCTATCTACGGAGTATACCTTACCTGTACTCCCAACCTCAGCAAGTGCTGACTTAGTGTTGATTTTGATCTGAATCTTGCTTGACCGAAATATGTTAACGAGGCAGAGAAAACACCTATTATGGACTTGATCTTGATTCGGCACAGGCGGCAACTTACTGTAGCCCTTTCATCACAAGATCCATGCTGAGTACTTCCCAGTCAACTCCTTACAATACCTACGCCTACAAGGTGAAAGAAGCGCTATAGACATGAATGGATAGGTTATCAAGAATTAATCACTTGCATATCCGCATCCTTTATACTCCGTACATACATACAGCATTCCTGCACTCCACTCGACAATGATCAGCTAAACCCCGGCAATAGGAGCATAGGCCACTAGTTGGTCAGGGTCTACTCTGTATTGACATGTTGACATGTGCCTTAGAAAAGTCATGATGTGTGTCTGTCAAATATTTGACGTGGTTAGGCTATTGTTGTTCATGTTGGGAGCTCCAGTGACTCGACTTACTCTGTACTGTCGCGCCAGTCATTTCCTTCGTTCTGTGCTAAGAGTGTTAGTTATCACAGAAGTGAGGGACCTCGCTAAAACTCACAATCTCGTTATCACATAATTCTTTAATGTGCCGCCAGAAATTCAACACGGTTGGTCACATGCATTTCTTGGCTTCAAAGACGGGCGCTTGCATCGAGGCTATGTTGCTCCCCATGATGAGCTCCAGAGCTCTCATGATCCATGATTTTACCCCAAATGCCCCACCCTCCCGTTATTCTTTGGCCCCCAAACCCTGCAAGGCTCTTCCCGAGGCCCCGCTTTTGATGGCTTCCAAGCTTTAGCTTGAGCTCTCGGGCGCTTACAGCCTGTTCGGGGGAACCAATCAGAGTTTGTCATCGTTCCTAGTGTCTTTGAAACTTAGTTAGGTTGTGAGTTTGAGATTATCTGAGCTCGATATTTATCTTGTGAGAGTGACGCATTCCATGCCCTTGAAGCTGTTGCCGCCGGATAAGAAAGATGTGTTTTGTTAGGCTAACTCGGACGGTTACATCCGTTGTGCTCGGGAAAATAGTACATTAGTACCTTTTATCCATGATGGGAATAGCAAGAACCAAGCTTTTCGTACCTACCAGGACTTCATAGGCACTCCTCAGGGTGTAAGAAGACTTCTGACGTTAAACTGAGGTGCCGAAATTACTTAGTCTAAGATCCTCTATATCTATACTAAATTACACTAAGTATACCTAAGGACTTTTGTTACATAGGATAGAGGTCCGAAGTTTTATTGCATCCCCTTGGCACTGTATGTAGAATCTATTCTATGAAGCAACGGCCTACGTTTCAATCATACCTTACCTTTCGTAGATACCTTAGCTTGGGTGCTAGAATCCCCCTGTACTTGTAAACTCCCTCTAGTTTCCTACGGTTGAAGGCCACGCCACGCCACCTCACTTCGGTTTAACGAGGTGCCTCCCAACTGCTGTATGCTATTGGAAGCCCCCATAGGTAATCTGTATGATCCAGCAGACCACGGCGCTTGAGCAGAAGAGACCCTCTTCCCCTCTTGATTATCCTTTCCCCCTTTTCCCTTTTAATTTCTATCTTTCTCTTATGCGCTTTTGTTCTCTACAAAGAAGTCCCGTGAATCTCGTTTATCACTTTTTCACTCTTCTGAAACCAACATCAGAGTTTTGTACCTGACGCGGCCGTTTCTGCGACCTACTTTGCTGGGACCCCTCAATCAGGTACAAACAAGCACAACCAACGCCACGGGAGACAGAAGGCACTAACTACCTGAGTAGGTACTAATCTAGGTACCTACCTTACCTGTAGGCACGGGCGCACAAGCCCACGTCACTTCAGCCGATACAGCCCAAACGGTCGAACCCCGCTCAACCAACAACCCAAACAAGATAAACCTACCTAGAAGGCACATCACTCAAGAGTTTTGTTGACCTTTCAAGTCTGTACTTGTTGATCAAGAACAGGCCAGCTACCGTGGCCTCCGTTGCGCCTCGCCATCTGCGTCATCAAGCTCAAACAGAACGTTCTGTTGCTCGCTCACCTACCCCGCCGTCATTGGGGAACTCCCACATCGCATACTGTCGCATACTTCGCTTCCGTATCTTCCGTTAGAAGCGCCGTCGTATATCAAGATGGATCGCAGTCGTGGTGTTCCAGATGAGGAAATGTTTCTCAGCAAGCCTGCCCCTGAAGACTGCGACAGCCCTACCGTTGAACCTTTGCGCATATTCAAACCTCAGAGCCCCCAACCTGCAAAAGATGGCAGATCCTCTGCTTTCCGATATCCTGCGCCTCCTTCGTCCACATCTCCTGCCTCTAAGCACTCTTTCCCTCTACCTCCTGGTGCCTCCAGCTCTGCGGCTCCCTTGCCGTTCCCGGACGACGACGACGTTCGTAAACCAACTCCTGCGAAGCCCTTCGGCTCCGCATACAACGACACCAGCCCTCGACTAGAAACCAGCCCACCAGGAAAGAAACCTGGTCTCGCTGAGCGAAGAGGAGCTGCTCCAAAACCTATCAGCTCTCCCACAAGTCCCGACGCCGACACCGATCTTTTTCAACGTCCTCTGGCCGATAGCCACCGCCCTGGCTCCTCTAACAACAATTATCCCAGTTATCAAAAAACCTACTATCCGCCACCTGGTGCTGCGTCTGGCCCATCAAGCAATGTGCCAGCCCAGCCTGCCGCTGTCCAACAACTCAAGATGAACGACCAAGGAGTCAATCGCTTTGCTTCAACTGCCTCGACTTCAACGACCCGGGCAAGCCGTGGCTCGCCTCCCCCTCCCGAAACCCCGATTGTGGAGCCAGGACAGGCGCCGGCTGATGCTATTGAGGCCCGTTATGCCGCCGCTGGTATCTCTGGAACTGCTACCCTTAACAGCCTGGGCGCCCCCAGTGCGGCCGCTTCCCAAAGACTCGCGCAGTATGGAAACCAGCCTCCTCCTCAACGACCATGGACACCGACCGAGACCCCAGACCAAGCACCATCTGGTCCTCCGACTGTGTACCAGGGCATGAATGCTATTTCGAGTCCGGCACAATCACACCAGTCGTTTAGTCCTCCCCCACAACCCGAGCAGCAACAACAACAAAAGCCACAGCCGCAAGGGCAAGGGCAAGGACAGGGCCAGGCGCAAGTCAGTGTGTTGGAGCAAGACTTCCAACGTATGAACACCAACTCACCCCCTCCGGCATACTCGAGTCTCAACCCCGGTGGAAACACGTCCTATCCTAACGAGAAGCAACGACCCCAGCAAGCCGGCTCAAGTTCCGCCGCTGCTCAAGCCAACCAGCAGGCGACTGCATCGACAGCGCCAACGAAGGCCGCCGCAGTAGCTGCAGCCTCAACTGTTACTGGTGGACTTGCTTCACCTGCTCTTCAGCACCCAGGCCATCCTGCGTTTGCCAATGACCCTCACCCTGCGTTTGCAAATGAACCGCACCCTGAGCAGAATGGGCAACCCTCTCAGCAGCAAGTTGTTGCCCCTACCCAGACCTTCGAACCCCAAAACCCTGCCTCACCCCCACCTTTGCCTGAGGGATGGATCGCCCATTTGGATCAGAATTCCGGACAATACTATTATATCCATCTGGCATCTCAAGCTACGCAGTGGGAGTTCCCAAAGGGACCAAACCCCATATCTCACGAACAAGCTCCTCTCTCGCCAACCGCTTCGACTTATGGAAACCCTTTGGCATCGCCGATGTTCGGCAAGCAAGCCATGGCCTCTCCGATGTTCCCACCGCATACCCCTGGTTATGCTGAGAGCATCATGAGTGTGGCAGCTTCAGCAACACCCACAGCCGCCGGGTTCACCGGTCCTCCACCGAGCGCGGGGGTTGATATGTACAGAATTCAACCTACGAATGGCGTTTACTTTGGCCCTTATCTACGATATGTGAACATGGATATCGAGAAGGGCTTTTGGCTGGGTAGTATTCTGATTGTGACAGATGCTCCTCAACCACCCACAATCCATATTCACCTGAGCCACGACCTGGCACCCAATCCACGACAAGCTGAACCTCGCCCAATTTTCACACACCAAAGATGGAAATTTTATAAATATGATCTAGAACTGCCCATGTCCGAAGCTGGTACTGAGCGTTGGACATACGCAGTTACCTCTCACCTTGGATGCACTCGCTATGAATTCGTCGTAGCTGGGCGCCAAGAGACTAGCTGGCGCTTTATTGCACACTCCGGCAACGATTTCGCTGCAGGTACTTCACAGAACGAGCGAGCTAAGCTTGGTGGAGTTGGATTCATGTGGAAGGACGTCCTTCAGAAGAATGTCGATTGCGGTGGCTTTCATGTTCAGTTAGGGTTGGGAGACCAGATCTACGGTGATCGTTTGTGGAAAGAAGTCCCTCTCCTCAAGCAGTGGCTTGCCATGAGTGGACGTGACAACAAGAAGAACGTCCAGTGGACAGCGCGACATGAAGAGGATGTCGCCCACGCATACTTCCACTACTACACCAGCCACTTTGATCAACCATTCCTTCGTGAGGCGTTTGCGCAAATCCCCCATGTTCTTCAGATTGACGACCACGATATGTAAGTGCACTGTTAGCATGCAGTTTGTTACATGTACTGACCCGAATAGTTTTGATGGATATGGCTCATACCCAGACTATATGCAATCTTCACCAATGTTCAAGAACATTGGACGAATTGCCACAGAGATGTACCTGTTGTTTCAGCACCACACCACTGTAGAGATGCTGCGGAACGTCAGCACCGATCACGACATATTCACTATCACTGGAACTGGTTGGCATTTCGTGAAGTACCTCGGGCCGGCTGTGGTGGTTGTTGGCCCTGATTGCCGATCCGAGCGTACCCAAGCCCAAGTAATGGCAGGCCCAACATACCAAGGGATCTTCCCCAAAGTTGCTACACTTCCCCCAAGCGTACAGCATTGTATCTGGATGATCTCGGTACCACTTGTGTATCCACGTTTGGACACTGTGGAGAGCCTTGCCAACACAATGGCTGCGGGCAAAAAGGCAGTCAACACAACATACAACATTCTGGGTAAGGTCACGAGCTCCGTTGCAGGCGTAGTCGGTGGTAAAGATGTGGTTGCACAAGGCTTCTCGCAGGTGAAGAAGGCTGTCGGAAAAACTGGTCTCATGGGTAATGTCTTGAACCAGTTTGGCGAGCTTGACATTCAAGAAGTGCTCAAGGATATGTGGACTCACGACACCAAGGACCTAGAGAGAACCTATCTGATCCGAACTCTGCAAAGCATTTCACAGCAGAAGGGAATTAGAATGACCTTCCTCTCTGGAGGCAAGTCGACTACCACATATCAGTTTTTGAGATCCTCAGGCTAACATTACCGCAGACGTCAATGCCTCAGGAGCTGGGTTGGTTCACGACCCCACGCACCCAGGTGATCACAAGACCATGTACCAGGTCATCTCATCCCCTATCGTGGCGGCACCTCAGAGCAACTATGTGCTCAAGATGCTGCACAACCAAAAGACGCTTTACGTACCTCAGAATGGCAAGAAGTCAACGCACGAGGTGTCGGACACAAAAGAAGATATGATGGAGATCTTCCATTCTGATGCCAGTGGCGCCGCAAGAGAGCTCAAAAAGCTCATGGGTCGTCGAAACTACGTTGCCTTTGTTTCATACGATCAGGACGCAGCGGCAGCAGTGCCCCAGACACCGTTCAGCCCTAACCCCAGCCTGACTGGCTCACAACAGGGCCTGTCCAAGGTGAGCCTGGCCGTCGACTTTGTGGTTCAGGGTGACGGAGCGTTCACGGCACCAACTAAATATGGCCCTGTCATCATCCCTCATTTGGAATATGGACGATGATTCTTAGTGGTAGTGGGACCCTGAAGTAAGGACACTGACTGGATTTCGCCATTTATAATGCACATATAGCGTTTCTACGATATTACGAAGACATATATATATACATCTTAAGATACCTTGTTGATTATCAGTTTGTCGAGCTTAGCAGGATTATACGGGTATGAGACGGGTCAATTTTAAACACATTTGGCCGGATATTCATGAAAACATTGCATGTTTCTTGGTCTCGTTTCTATGGTGTATATATGCTTTTGAATCTCATTCCAACGCCCAAATATGTACTTAGAGATCGAAGAGTTCCTTGAGGATACGCATGGTGTCTTCAGGTCCGGTGACGGAGTGGCCAGTTGTCCTGGAGTCGGTGTAAATCTCGTAGTCGTTGCCGCCCTCGAATGTCTTGTCGCCAAAGAAGTGGATGGTCTTGTAGGCGATACCATCAGGCTTCTTGGCCTCGTTCTCAAGGTGCTGGAGGCAGTAAGTCTTATCCCACCCGGTGGGGAACACATCGAAGGAGATCTGGCCACCAATGGAGAAGCTGTCCGGAGAATATCAGAAATCAGAGCATGCAATGGCGGATTAGGGATCATACGTACGTGAGGCCGAGGTGGCCGAATCGCTCCTTGAGAACAGCGACAAATTTCTCCCGAACCTTTGCGTCCTTGTCGAACGCCTCAAAGTCGTTTCGCTCCTGAGTGCTGGCGTTACGACCGACGGGGCTAATGTTGATCATTCCATTGCGGAATTCAATAAAGGTGCCGCGCTTGACGGGGATGTCGAGATCAGCAACGTAGTGGAGGACGAAGTTGGCAAGCTCCTTGTACTGTTCCTCGCCAATGAACTTGATGAAGGAGTTCGACTCGAGGGGTTCGCCGAGCTTGAAGGCAGTCAAGCCATTCTCGGAGAAGCAGAAGTCGAATAGGGCGGTGACGGGCTGTCCGGCGGGCTTGCCTAGCTGCTCTTGTTGCTTGGCGAAGTCCGAGCCACCAACATATCCGATAGCACACTTTGAGCGAAGTTTCTGAAGGATGTCGAGGATCTCGGGCGAGGCGTCCTGTATGGGTTAGCGACTGGAAGAGATTCAGGACAGGGTGTTTGAGCGTACCAGGCGTGCGGGTGTGAGCGTGCCGTCAACGTCGAAGAGGCAGATGGTGTCCTTGAGAGGACGCTCCTGGAGAGGAGTATACGAGGGAGGGGATACGAGAGCCATTGTGAATGCAGTTGTCGTCTGGAAAAGAGAGAGCCGAGACTGTAAGATACAGGAACAAGGTGAGATAGATAGGGGAGCTCCTTGGTGTTGAGGAGGGGACTCGACACTACCTAAACAAATGGATGGGAGAAGGTGGGGCAAGGATGGGGAGCTAGGTAGATTAGTAGGTACTTTACAGAGCATGTACGATGAAATTCAATGCGGGGCAGACTTGACGATGAACTACCTTAGTAGTAGGCACTGTACCTTACGTTACCTTACACCTCAAGTAACACAGGTACTGGATCCAAGATGCTGATCTTGGTGGCTCCAAGGACTTTCTTTATCATATAGATCTTGGCAGAGTCGTTGGGAATAACAACACAGGACCAACAATCTACAGACACAGGGAGAGGAAGTGATGTGGTTTCTCAAAGTTCTTCTCTAGTTTACATCCCTTGGGCCACGTTTACCGCTAGAGATCCAGGGGTTGGTCCACTGTTGGTTGACATTGGATCCATGGATGCAATTGGGATTAAAGGCAACACTTTCTGAGGACCATGATAATTAGATGATCGATGATGGTTGCAACCATCACCAAGCTTCTAAGAAGTAACAGCAATCAAGGAAGATTGGCTAGGTACTTAAGTACTAAGGTATCACATCTAAGGTAGGTAGTTTTGAATGCTCTGGACTGACAATTCGTTATTGCTCTAGGTAGGTACCTTACCTAAGGTACCTAGGTAGTCTTCCTCTCCTTGTTACCCCTCCACCAAAAGATCTTCACAACCTCCACTAGCGCAAGGAAACTTTTTAGTGGGTCACCTGTTACGCCCAGTCTCACCGCTAAATAAGGTAGCTCGCAGCAACCAGTGGGTCCCTCTTTCGAGGTGAGCACGGTGAACAAGTGGACAAGGATTAAATTCGGGATAGATGAATGGTCATTACCTGATGGATATCCATATATACTTGTATCAGGCAAGATCTCTCAAAACAGCTCTCGTTCGTCAAAAAAATAAATAGAGAAGAAGAAGAAAAGGCAAAGACATGTTATTGCTGGGTCTAAACAGTCGCTCAACGAATGGATGAATAAGACAAAGACGCCTTTTTAAACCCAACCAAGTCCATGGCAGGCTATGCCATTTCACCCCAAGCTCCAGTGAGCTCGACGATCACGTTTACGATTGTGCTCACTGCCCAGAGAGTGATCAGTCCCCATCCAATCTTGCGACTCAAGATCCATTTGTTCATGGGCACAACAATAAGCAAGCCCACGAGCGTGACAAGTAGTGTGATAGCTGAGATCATCAGCGTCCCACCGACTTGAATGCGGTATGGCTTGTACTTGATGGGATGACTGGGGTTCTTGCGATGCTTCTTGTTCGCCTTCTGGATTGTCATCATGGCACCGCCGATACCAATGCCCAGAAGGATGTTCAGCATAGGGCCACCGAAGCAAGCAGATCTAGATATCATATTAGCCCAGGTCCTTCAAGGAAGCCCTCGTACTTACAAAGCCATAACGGGATACCCAAGCCGTGCTATTGTTATGTCAGCGACTAGATCCCCCACACTGTTGCCAGCAGCAAATATGGTGAGACCTAATAGCGCTTCCGAGATGTCCAAGATAACACCAACTGTCTTGAGAACCCCTACAACCTCGCCTGCGATGGTTGAGATCCAAGCAATACTAATTATGAATCCCATAAAGCAAAGCAGATAATGATAACGAGGGGGTCTGTCCTCTGACGTGAAAACGACCATGACACCGAGAAGAATGAGAGATGCCAGGAGTGTGTAAAGCACCATACGGATTAAAGTTTTATGAGGGTTCTCCCACTCCTCCAAGGTATTGGCCCACAACACAAGGACAGCAAACTGGGGACCAGTAAAGAGTTGTAGCGCCACGAGCCATCGGTTCCAGCCTGTGCAGTCATTCTTGACACTGCTGGATGAATGCAAATCCGAAGCTGGCTTTGCCACTATGGCCGGTGGACCCAGAGAGAACTGCGAGGCAGCCAGAGTCTCTCCGTCTGCAGCATGTGCTGTAGAGGGTGTTGTCGCAAGACCAACGTGACTGTTGCCGCGGCTTGTGATGGTGTGTCTACGATAGCGCTCCCATTCCGACTCTCCTTCTGGCTCAATCGCCGAGTGCTCGATTGATATGGGTGGAGCATTGTGCCCAACACCTTGATGATCGTGATGGTAATGATCGGTGTGGTCATTGAGTGCCTCGAGGATAGATGATTCGCCGTCTGTTGTTTCCGAGTCTACGACGGGCAAAGTCACCACCAAAAGAAAGATGCTTGGGACGGAGATGGCACTGACAAATTTGTCCCATGCCGTCTTCTCTTTCCAGCCTTGCAATGTAGGGAACAAAGTTGCCCACAAGACATGGGGAGCTGGTAGCACGGCATAAGGCCACCATCTAACAGGACGTGATGGTGCATCGACTGTCAGTTGCAAGTCGGCAAATGGTGTCTCACGGCTTGCTGGACCCGGTGCAACGGTACTGGGTGATACTCCTCCTGGCGACACAAACTCAATCGGGTCAACCTGGTAATTAGGTGTAAGCAGTGCTGGCGAGTCACTGTACATAGGGAAAGGCGTGTTAGGCGAGGAGCGGTCGCTGTAACTGCTACGTCGGCTGGAAGGTATTTGCAGGCGAAGCTCGGGAGTCAGCAGCTGTCCTTTCTGGTCTTCTGGAGGCGCATCATGGGTGGTCCCACTAGGACCGACAGGAGGCGCTGCCAAGTTTCCTCCTACAGTGTAGGATGGGCTGGGGCTTGATGCCCTCGTTCCACTGGCTGTTGAGCCCGGAACGGACAACGTCGGCTCAGATCCGTTGCGGCGTGGAATGTGTAGGTCCGGGTGAGTAGTCACACCAACTGGGACGTCTCCAGAAGAGAGTGCTCTGTTCCTTATAGGTGCGTGCTCACCAGTGTTGGGGTCCAACTGGCCATCAGACCGAGCCGATTCCGCGATTGTTGCGGTGGTCTGCCTGCGCCGGTGCACATGATAATCCGAGTAGCTTCTACCTGGGATCGTGGACAGCTGTAAATTACCCTCGCGTTGTAGTTGCGCCAAAGCAGACCGAAATTCCAGTGCACCTACAAGACTAGGTCGGATGGGCGTCATTGTGTTTCGTCTAACTCCACGACCCCGCAGAACTCGCATGCTACTGGCAACCTCGGCTGCAACCATGCGATCATGGTCTTCACTAGACGTGTCGCTTTCAGCTCGCTGAGGCGTACCGTCAACCTCGATTCTGGGCCCGGCTTCAAGGAGCGAGATATCAGGCGGCGTAGCGTGCGCGGTGCCAGGGCCAGGGCCAGCATCATCTGGGTCGTCTCTATATGGCTCACCGGCTAACTCGTCCCTGGAGTGACCTAGAGCTGCATACACATGGCTGCGCGCTTCGCCTTCTCTGCGTTGTCTAGCTTTGCGTCTCGTGGAGTACCAGTGCCATGTTACAACAGTAACGACATACACTCCATAGTACCCTATCATCACCCAACACTCCCATAAGTGTAGGTGGCCATCAGCTAGGAAGATCATGGTGAAGACGACCGCAAGAATGAAGAAGCAAATATCGCGTGTGTATGACTTCCGATCAACACGAAACTCCCTCACCAATGCCATAGAACCAGCAACGACACCTGTGATAAAGCTTGCCGCGCCGATTAGCTCTCCAACGGCCATGCTGGCGCTATTAGAGCCCATGGCTGCGAAGGTGCTGAACACATCGGGAGACCCATTGCCAAAGGCGAGAAATGTGACGCCTGCCAAACTCTCGCTCAGGCCAAGAACTGTC